CGGGAAACGGGACCGAGCGAGTCTTTCTCTCTCCGCCGGGACTCCACCGGTGCCGCCTGCCCTACCGCTAGTAGTTCTGGCTGATTTAAAGTGCTTCAGAAGCGCGGCGGGCAGGACTAAGGTGTAGGGTCCGTTGACTGCCTGCACCGAACCCGACGAAAAGCCCGGAGAAGGGAAAACTATTCCGGTATTGTCAGCTTTTGCGCCCTCGTTTCATCCTCGCTGGCTGACGCCGCTAAAAACCTGCTTTTCCAGGGCTAAGGGAACAGGCACGACCCTGGGGCAGCCCTTTAAGCTTTCCCACAAATGCTGTTTGTGTGCCAACAGGACACTGCAGAAAGAGCTGGCCCGACACCAGAAAGACTCCAGACGCTCAAAAATCACCGGCAGCGCTGATAAGCGTTCGCTCCTCCTTTCCGAAGACCTTTATCTCTGCAGACCACAGGGATCTTCCACCCTTCGGCGTCTGTAAGCGACCATGAAGAAATCTAACCTAATGAGATTCCACCGGTTTAACCGACAATAACGTGCCAAGGACAACTGCAGTACTTCATCCTCACCCAGCGTAACCACCGCCGCTGCGAACACGTCCAGATTGCTACGGGAAATAGGATCAGGATGGAAAACAGCTGATCCAGACCGGAGCCAAGGGCGACTCAAGTGACCGGACAGAAAAGAGGAACATTCAAATCAGAAGTTGTCCGAGACGTTTTTAGCACCTTTCACAGGACGTGCACAGCCCTCATCCAGCAAAGACAGGCAGACTTCCACAGCCCATACTCATTTTGGCTGTCTGGGTAGCGTACATTCTCCAAAACACTCTCACCTTCACCTTGTTGGGGAACTCTCTCTCATCTTGCCCAGGCGACTGGAACAGAGAAAGGCAGGCATTTTTCGTATCAGGCTGGATTAGTTGCAACTCACCATATCAAGCTGGAAATACTGTTTCAAAATTGTTAGTGAAAAAAAAACCTGTTGCTTTGGAGCAAAGGCTTCAAGCTCCAGTCCTTCAAATAGCTCCTAGCCAGCCCCAAATGCCGCTATAAGGCACTGGCCCTGTCGGCCACAGAGCTCAAGCCCAGTAACATCGCAGAGCGCGTGAAGATTTACAAACAACTGCAGCAGCTGCTTCTCTTTGCAACAGCACAGACTACAAGCCCCAGAACAAAACACAGTGGAGCAGATGAAGTGTGCCTTTTTTGCAGTTATCCGGACAAAGGAGAATAAGTGAGCCTGCAGTATGATCGTTTTTAAGCAACATTGCAGCTATCTTTCAGAAACATTTGAAAAAGATTTTCCATCACAAGAGACATTCACAGTTTGTTTTATCACCCAGCTTCAAACAGCCTCTGATCAAAGAAGAAATATTTCTTTCCTATCGCCCCCCCAAAAGCACAAACTAAAAATCCAAACAACTTAGTCTAGTTCCAAATAGAGAAAGGTCTCCTCCTATTACCCAGGGGAAGTTGGGGTTGTTATTCATTTTATGCAAAAAGCTACTCAGACATTCCAGTGAGGGAAGGAGTAAAAAAGACTAGCTTTATTTATCTACAACACTCACTTGACTCCTACTTCCACGTATCTCCTCCCAGACCCAATTCTCCCTTCCTGTTCTCCTTCAGATCCGTCTCTCTTCTCTCACTCGTCAAACCTCCAACCACCCTTTGCACTCAAGCGCTGTGTCCCTCACTCCTATTCCCCGTCCCAGCTTCCAGCCTCCTGG